ATCCATTTTCTCTTTGCAATACGTCTGTCGTCGAAATTCACCGCCAAAGACTGAAAGAGAGGCTGTGAGCAGAAAAGGCCGTTGGAAAAAACTAGACATGCGTTGCTGGAAAACGGTTGGGAATGCAACCTGGTGCCAGTAAAAAAATCAAGATTTTTGCGCTAAAAGGCAGCTCTGCAACAATCATAACTGTATTGGCGGCCACTCTCGATTTTTTTGCGCTAACAGTGCCATTCAATCAAAACTGCGTTACTGCGCGAACCATTAAAAATGACAACTTCCTTTATCGTCACGCAAGACTAAATTTCCGACTTTCATCAGCGCGCGTTGCATGACTAGAATGCCGTGACATGCTGATTCCTCTGTTCGTCAACGTAACGTTGTTGCATGGGAAACGGTAATCTGCGATCGGGCATTTTTTTCGGGGAAAGGGGAGGAAAAGAACGCGTCCTTTTCCCCTCTTCTCCCAAACAAAAAGGGAAGAAGGACTGCCTGATCGCTGGTTAAGGAAACAGGGTAAAGGCGTATAGGGTGCCTAATGTAAAAATATTAATTAGGCAAAATTTTTCTAATTTTTGTGCTATTTACAAGAGTTGTCTCGCAATTTGTAAAAAAAGCTTTCCGAGGCATTTGCGGTATGTTAATCACAGATATTGAACTTTTCGCTGCTGAACGATTTATAAATTGCAAGATTTCTAAATACTTTAAACTTTATAAGTTGTAAGATACTCAACTTTGCGATTTGTAAATCGAAGATACCTTACTTTGTGATTTATAAATAAAACGTTTCTAACTTTGCAATATATAAATCGTGAGATACTTTACTTTGCGATTTGTAAATTGCAAGATGTCTGATTTTGCAATTTATAAGTCACAAGATGTCTGACTTTGCATATAAATCGCAAGATGTCTGAAATTGCAAGCTGTCTGACTTTGCAATTCATTTAAATCACAAGATGTCTGACTTTGCAATTTATAAATCACAATATGTCTGACTTTACAATTTATAAAACACAAAATATCGGACTTGTGATTTATGAATCGCAAATGTGCAAGTAATAATTCTCAACTCTGTTTTTTATGAATCTTGAATGTGCAATTTATAAATCACAAATGTGTGATTTAAGCCGAAAGCCGAGGAAACTTAGAACAAGACTGAATGTAGGGCTGGCAATACAGCAATTGGCTGTTATTTTTGAGGCCAATAATTAGCCTTCCTCAGGGCTAGAGCAATACTGAACGGGAATACTATAAATTAATTAATAATTTCTAAATTCTAAATTCAAATTTCAGGAGCCGCTATAGTATTCCCTATCAGTGTAGCTCTGGCCCTGAGGAAGGCTAATTTTGTTAGCCGAAATATTGGCCTCAAATAAAACAGACCTTTGCTGTATTGCCAGCCCTGCATTCAGTCCCCGAGGGCTACTCCCTTATATAGGCCATGTAGGTATGTGCTGCCCCAAAGGGTAGAGTTTTAGCAGCGTTTTGGTCTGAAAATGGGTATAGACTTTGCCCATTCTGGTCTGGAATCGGGTATAGTTTTTGAGCGAGCTAAAGTGGTGTATCAACAAATTTGATGATTGGTTCCAAATGAATAAGAAATAAGCCCATAATATGCCAATTTCGAAAAGAATATTAAGAAATCTTCTCGTTGGCGATCTAATCTCAGTAATGATGATATAATTTATGTTTTATAAACATGTATGTTGTGTTTTGTGACCGCTTCCAGGTCTGAAAACCGGTATTGATTTTAGAGGGCAGGTTTGAAAACGGGTGTGGAATATGACATTTTTTGCCCGGAGGGGGGGGGAGGGAACTCCGCATATGAAAGAAGTGGGGTTGCTCGTCGTCTCGCTTAGGGGTGTACATTTCGGCTTTTGGTCTCACTTAGGGTGTTCTGGACAAAACGCTATCATATTTAGCCATGAAGGTCTCGTTTAGGGTTGCACGCGAAAAAATGTAAAAATATATATTTGATATGTATATTTTTAATACGTTTTATTTACTCCAATCATATAATCCAAGTTTTCTATAACATCAATACTTAAAGAAGACGTCTTTGTCCATTGTTTTTACAAGAGTATAATACGAAACTTGGCTGCTGACACAAAACGATTATTTGATCACGGCGAAAAATATTCACAAGATTGTTATTTGATTCTTGCCCTATACCGAGTTTTAATAGTTCGTCCTTTAATTCCCTGATCGAGTTTCGAGCTGCTTCCATTTCAATTTTTACTGGAACATCGATCCCACCGCCAACACGCCATCTTCCTTTTGGATCGTTGACATGGTCTCTTTTAGGGGTCAAAAAAAGCTTGGGCCACGCCCAGATCAGTCTCCTTTAGGGGTTTAATTCAAAATTGCCGACAAACATCTCCACCCCTTTGCATATGTGGAGTCCCCCCCGGAATTTTTTGGGCTGAAATAGGGTCAGGATTTGGAGAACCGGGCGGCACACCGCCCACAAGAATTCCCAGGAGTGTCCCACTCCTCCCGGGACTCAGGCTTGTTCTAATTCTCACGTCATGTGACGTCTGGCATTGGCGTCTCTACATTAGAGATCCGGTGAGAAAGAACCAGTCGGTTTTATTTACGCGTTGAATGGACCTCGGCATTCAAAGGTTTTTACTACGAGGAAACTTGTTACTGCGGGTTCGTACTCTAATAAAAATTTGGCGGGAAAGTCAGCGGGAAAGTCATTCTTGTTTTCAACAATGGCGGACGGATTTTGCAAGAATGCTCTCATTAGCCGCTTTGAGAGCTGTATCTCAGACGTCACGAGTACAAACCACGCCTGGGTCAGAAGCATTTTTCTTTACTGTCTCAGGCTAGGTTCACACTATATCAATCAGCCTTTCGTGGCGCCTCGAACAGCAACGGCCCGGGGCGGTCACAAGTCGTTCACACACATCGAACATCAACACCGCGGCAAAACGCAATGCGCATGAGCACAAAATTTAATATCCGGTCAGCTTTTTATTTCCGGTCTAGTATATAAACCAATAGCGTAAGCATAACTTTGCCGTCGCGCCAAGTTTAAAAGCAAAAAGGGCGAAACAGACAAAAAAAGGGGGCCAAAAAAATCACTTCATTCGAAAGTTTATATATTTTTCTATTCTCAAACTTTTGCACCACATGGTTATCTGTTTGCACCAACGGTGAAAATGATGTTTGAAGTTTGCAGGTCGCGAGCGCTCGACAAGACGAATTTGTTTTTACTGGCTTTCTCGCATGCTACTGGTTTGGCATAAGTTAATTTGGGAGAGGGCGACAACTAAGGAAAGAATAACAATACTTATGAAAGAAACCAAAATAAAGACGTCATCATTATCATAAAAAACACTTAACAGGAAATAAAATTTTAGTCCGTTCAATAATTTGTTTTATTATCAGAGAAAACAAGAACTCAAAACAAAAGATGGGCGAAATTTAATAACAACTTTGACTTTGATGACTGCAGTCACCGGGAAACTAAACATGCCTATAAATGACTTTCATTCAAGAAAATGCCTATTTAATTCTTTTACATGGTTGTTCTTTTGTTGAAGACTTCAATAATTTCAGACTGTGCGGCTCGGCTGCATCTCATGCAAACACGAAACTTCTAGCTACTAAATACATGGCATGAAAATTTCGACTTCTAAAAGCCACTGAACCAGCTTTTGCTCTCTGATTCTGAGAATGGAAAAATAAATAAATAGAGTTGTCAACTTGCTGCCAACCGGCTCAACAGTATAATTAAGCTTATGTTTCATGGCAATCAACCCAGAAGAGTTTCGTTTTAAAACACGGTAAAACCCACTGGTAAACAAAACTACAAAGCGATTGTGTGTTGTCGTTTTCCAAATAAAGTTTGAATCGGCTTTAACACATGTAGACTGAGAAACTGAAAATTAGAACTACAATACACAAGCTTGCAATGATAACGTTTTAATTCTATGTCTCAGTTTTAACAGTCAAAAACTTTATTTTCGTGAATGAAAATCAGTTTACCTGACGCTCTAGCCAAAATTACACACTGAGTTATTATCATCTTACCTTTTCTGAATCTAATCGACTAATTGTTGCAGTGATCTGTGTCTGGTTATCCATAAAAGCAATTTCAATAACTACAAAATAGTCAAAAACACGAGCAGCACGAAGGAGAACAACTGAACCACAAGCTGCGCACAGAATGAAGCCGAGAGCGCGCGGGAGACTTTGACGGAAAGTGTGACTGAAAAAGAGACCGGAAATGCTCAACCTGGCGCATGCGTAGACGTTTTGCCGCGGTGTTTCGAACATCGTGCTGCCGCGGTTGGCCGAGAGGGTTTGGTGCACTAAATTCGAGTCCTCACTCCTGAATATTTCCGTCTCACTGGGTCCCAGGCCTCGTTCCTACTTCCGCAACGGGCCACACCGCACCAAGGTAGAGCACAAAGCTTCCATCCATACATACTAATCTTTATTTAAATACAATAGTTTTTAAAACTGTGAAAGGCTGACAATTTGACTAACAATAGACGACTGTTTAACTGTGACAATAGACGGATGGGAACCCACCAATTACTGATTACGAGTCTTCATAGCCAATAACATCACGGCTTAACTGACAGACAACCAATAACATCGCGACGTATTTGACCAATCAGATCAATAACCAGAGTATAATACCATCAACTGACGTGATGACCACCGCACAGGTTGTCGAAACGTTAGTCACTGCCAACAACAACAGTCCTATTCAGGACTACGTTCACCCGGACGATCAAACTCAACCTACTTTTGATAGTTTTTAAACCTGTTAAAGCTTGTGGGGTCGTGTGTTTAAGAATAGGCCACTTTACAGTTGTGTGCTCAGAGGGTAAAAAAACAGACACGATTTTTTGCAAACATCCTTTGGTCGAAGCTCACTTGCAAAATTTCTTTTCACTAACGTAATGCATGCATCTACTTTCAGTAACCAAAGCTGACACAAAAGCGAAGAATAGATCTTCTCATGTTTGTTGTTTTCAGACACTGATGAATGTTATCCCGACCCGTGTGTAAACAATGGAACGTGCATAGACGGAGTAAATAACTATACTTGCGCATGCGCTGCTGGTTTCGAAGGAAGGAATTGCACCAACAGTAAGTGATGTTGATATACTTTCGGCGTGAATTTTAATTGAACTATTGGTTTTAATTCAGGTCTGGTGAGAATACGGTTAAGTTTTTTAAGGTTAAAAGGCGCACAATAAAATCAGTCTTTGGCCAAGGTATAGGATCTTCCATCCTTTAAACGGGATCATCATTGAAACGTGAACAAAAAAGGAAGAAACAGTTTAGTTTTGCTGATGACAGGACCATGCAAAACGTACCAGTTCCAACACGTGTTTCCTTGAATTGCAATGTTTAAATTTCCTTAACATAAAGGTTTGTGCGGGAAGTTTTGCATTGTGGAGTGTTGCAATTAATAGGCGTACAAGTTAGTAAAGCTGATTCAATGATCTAAAGTTTTGTTGTGGTGCTTTCTCACCAGATATTAATGAGTGCTATCCCAGCCCATGTGAAAACAATGGAACATGTATTGACAGAGTGAACACCTACACTTGCCTTTGCGTTCCTGGCTATGAAGGAGAGAATTGCACCCTTAGTAAGTTCTTGCAGAAATTTAAAGCCATAATTTGGATTGGACAGACGATGGGATTGTTTTGAGGGTGAAGTGGTGGACAATAACATTTGGCGGTCGTGTAAAAAAGTTGTGTATTGCCTTCAGTCTGCGTATCCTTGTTTTTCTTAGACACCGATGACTGTCGTGGCAATTCGTGTAAAAACAATGCAACATGCATAGATGGTGTGAATAACTATACTTGCGCATGCGTGCGTGCCTTTGAAGGATGGAACTGCGCTATCAGTAAGTCTTTATTCAGTGGAAAGAGGTTTTAGAGACAAAATATGAATTGGGACGATCTTAAGGTGCTGTAATAGACTTTTATTTTGAGCAGGTTCAGTGACTGGTTCTCTCATCCTTCACATCATTTCAAAGTCTTAAATATTAAAATCTGTCAAAGAGCAGTCACGCTTTTTCCATGTAAAAGCTTCAATTACGATGTGTAGTATTTGCACGTTTCGAAAGTGCAATCAGTGGTGCACAATTAATTTCCATTGGAAAAGAAATGGTCCTTCTTGGCAGTCCTTGACTCAATTTCAATTTTGGAACCATTTTTATTAGAAAATGCGACTTCTTCTTTGGTTTCAACTTTCAAGTAAAGAACAAGCAAATAAAAGAAACCACGTATTCCAGAAATTATTTGTTCGAAGCTCACTTGCCAAATTTTTTTTTGTACTAACGTAATGCATGTATCTACTTTCATTACTGACTAAAATTGGAAACGAAGCGAAGAATAGATCTTCTCATGTTGGTTCTTTTCAGACACGGATGAATGTTATCCCAACCCGTGTGTAAACAATGGAACGTGCATAGACGAAGTAAATAACTATACTTGCGCGTGCGCTGTTGGCTTTGAAGGAAGGAATTGTACTAACAGTAAGTGATTTTGATTTATGGGAATTTTAATAACTATGCTTTTTAAATCAGGTGAGAATATGAAAATTTGTTTTAAGTTGAAAGGCGCCGAATAAAATCAGTATTTGGTGCAGGTATAGCTTCTTCCATCTTTTTAACGGGATCATTGTTGAAACGTGAAAAGAAAGAAAAGAAGATAGATTTTAGTTTTGCTGATCAATACGATCAAAACTCACTTGGAGCACGCGCTTCCTTGAAGTCTCTCCTCTCGGATTTAATTGCATTGTGGAGTACTGTATTTCGAATAATGGGTGCTCATGTCAAGGGATTAAAGATGATTCGATCGTCTAAAGCGTTGCATTCTTGATTTCCCACCAGATACTGATGACTGTTATCCCAGCCCATGTGAAAACAACGGAACATGTATTGATAGAGTGAACAACTACACCTGCGCTTGCGTTCCTGGCTATGAAGGAAAGAACTGCACCTTCAGTAAGTTCTTGAATATATAGAATGATAATAGCTTTTTTGATATTATCCCAGCGAAGGCTGCTGAATGGGGTATTTCGATACAAATCGTTATAATTTGGCTTTCAGTAGGCTGTTGTGATTCTTGGCGCCCTTTGGCGTAATCAGTTCTTGTTTTGCAAAAAAGGTGCTTTCCAAAATACGGACACATGCTTGGCTGATTCAGATATCTCTGCCAATCGCTCGTTAATAATTCAGTTATCGCCACAAAACAATGATCTGAAATAACCTGCGCCAGACCCAGCGTGAAATAAATAGTTACAGTAGTAAATTGATCATAGTCAAGATGACATTTCAGCTAGGACGCTCCGACTCATGTTATAAAAAACTAGGGAAATAAAACCTTGAAAAGAAGATGTGTTTAAAGAAATATAAGGACAAGTATAAAATGCTTTCGATTTGATCAAAGTTCTGTCTGAACAAAGAAGCAACCACGCATATGAAATCAATTACCACATGTCCTAGGCTTCAAAGATAAAGGATATCTTATAAAATAATATCTAAAGTGGGACACGAGAAACTATGAAGAGTTCTCCAAAGCATACTTTCCTGCAAGGAACCAGAAAGGAACAGAAGCAACAAACGGCATGATGCGTCTACTGTCATTAGGACATTTTTCGTTTCGAATATGATCAAAACAACTAGGTGTTATAAATCATTGACTTCGTAGGCGAATAGATAAAAATTATCCTCTAATCTTTTCTTCAATATGAACCTCTTGAAACTTATTTCATCAATCAGTCCACAATCATGGCAAATTAACTTTCGTAAACGCGTCGTTCTGAGGAAAAAGGGTGGCTATACACAAGCCACGTCCTTCTTTCAATTTCGACTTGTAAACATATCCACCGCGCATGATCTTGCGAGAAGTCTCGCGAGTTAGTTCCTTGATTTTAAGAGCTAAACCGTGATTGGCTAATAAGGTTTTAAGTCACGGAAATCGTTTTGTCGCTCGGGTTCGCAGACGTTATTTTTCAAAATGAGAGAAGCGACGACCGGAAATACGTCTGCTGTTCGCAGGCTAGTCGACGAGGGAATGGGTAAATAAAGTAAACTTGTCGAGCTTTCAACTCAAAAACTTTTTTAAATTCGAGCTTGCGTGATTAGCGTGCGATAAGCAAAACATCTTGACGTCACAACAATGTTTACATACTCTCATGCAAACACGCCTCTCGGCTAACCAGAGCGCGCGTGCGCGCTATCTTAATTATTTTATAAACATGTTTAGTTATAAAGGGTTAAGATGTAATAAATATGAGCGTAAAAATATGAGGTATAAATATGTGTCTCACTGGATTTTTAAAAAAGGTATGTCTGCAGAAATTCACGAGTCGCTAGTTAGGGCCTAAAAAGTACAGCTTAATTACTGATAACACACGAAAATTTGTTCTTGCCAAAAGCGAGAGAATTTTGCAATTAAATTTACAACATTAGAAATGCACAGAAATTATGGCAATTCACTTTTTCAAAAACTATGAGGCTCATAGCAAGATACCGGACAAAAGCAGGCCCAGAATTCAACTTTTCTTGAACCCATAATTGATTTTCCAAGACAAAATCACTTACACCAGGCATTTATGAAACGGTTTTATGCCGGCGTCTGCATGCTTTTCTTGTAACACGAGCACAACGACATACCTGATTCTGTCTGTCAACAACGTCAAGTAATCACATAATTAAACACTCCCGCGGCACTGATAAAACTATGTACAATCAGGCATAATCTCTCCGCACTTAATACGGGCGAAATGTCATCAAATTTCTCGGAAAACCCTCGATTTATTCAAGATCCCGGATGAAGACCGGCGTTTCTGAAAAGGAAAGATGAAGGGCCAGCCTACAAACAATTTTTAACAATTTTTAATTTTTTAAGTCTCTGGCCTTGTCAGAAGTCATTCATTCATTCATTCATTCATTCGTTGATTTTATTTTGCCATTAACCAGAAATACAACAACAGTATACAGAAATACATTAAAGATAATATACAATATTCCAACTAAATTATTTACAAGATTAAATGTGGTAAAGGCAAGGAAGCCTATATAGAAGCCGGGGGCTTATAAACTATAGGCTTCCTGGAACTATAGGGTAAACCATGCAAGTTAAGGGTACTGAATGAAAATTTGGATTAATTTTTAAAAATAAATAAAGAAAGAAGAGAAAAAAGAAAAAGAAAAGGTGTGTAACTCAACAAAGAGTCAATTTAACTAAGTCTTTTGCCAAACAAACTGATACTTTCACTGTTTTGAATTTCCCGACTGAGCGCCAAATAGATTTAACTCCTTGAACCTACTTTCTGAGGCCAGAGACTCGTCACTGCTAAGAACAAAGCTCTTGATATCAATACCTTTTCCTCTCACCCCGAGATCAGTTGTTTACCCCAAATGAGACGAAATACGGTAAGGTATTGGACGATGGCAAGCTTTGCCAATCTTTTAACGCGCGCTGAGTGCTGTCCGTGATAGGGAGTGGGGTAGGGGTTGAGAAAGAATTTTAAAAATATAACAACATGATTTTATGTCTACCGCAGCTTGGTAGAAGAAAAATGGTCAAGTAAAGAAGCCTAAAATGAAAATCAACACTTGTGAAGGAAAAACCGCAGAGACAAACCAGTGAGGTCAGTCGGATCTTTAGTGGACCTGGATCAGTGAAATCTTTAATGTCAAATCACCAAGTATAAAAAATACCAAGTATGAAAATTTGAACAATTTCAAAATAAAAGCACAAACAAAGTAAAACATGCAAACATAGTAGAAGAGATTGGTTATGAAAGCCGGCAAACATCAAAGACGAAAACAACAGTGCTGCAATTGTTGTTGGAAGCTCCCCGACAGTGTACTATGTTTTGTCTTTGTTCACAAATTGTGACTGATTTGCTCGTTTTTCACGTGACGTCACGGCGGCTATGCTGGTGGTCAAGAACAAAAGCAATTCTCTCCTCTTCGAACTAAACTCTATTTTCATGTAAATTCTTGGAGTAAAAATGCTATTGTATTGACCCCCAACATGGCCGCCTTGTCACGTGGTTGCAAACCAAGAATAAATTTATGTAATGTTTGCAAATGTTTGAAGCTCTAGTGATAAATTCTAGTGATAGGAATGCTTTTGACCGTTTTTACTTGACGTTATGTCGGCCATTTTGGTGTCTCAAAACAATGAATCGGCGCAATGCTGGCGTTATTGACACGTTGTAGTGACGTCATTTGCAAATTATAGTGATATCTTACACAGGCATAAAAAAAACAGGGTCCTGAAACTAGACTTACTGTGTTGTATGTCTTTTAAGGTCGGTAATCAGAAACAATGACTTGAAACGATTTTTTTTTTCAAGTTTCTAAAACTACCGATAACTACCAATCTTTGACATCACCACATATTCCGCAAGATGATTTACATGCAAAAAGCAAGAGCTTAACATTGCTAAAACAGAGAGGGGCTCTTTCATTTTCTTATAATCACGCCGCGGGTAGCATCTAAGATTAATCAAAAGGTTCCAAGGAAGGTTCACTTCCTTTTGACTAAGTACTGTAGTGGTAAGAACTAGAAGTTTCTCTAATAAAACATGTAACACGTCTTGACGTGTTAGAAGAGATGAAGAACCCGCGGTAAAGACTTTGATATGAAAATGACCGTGAGATATGATATTATTTATAGAAAATTATTCATGAGTTTGTTAATTGATCGGACGACAAAAATGGTAAATATCAATGCGAAATGTATTGTCAGATGGGTCAAGGTTGCTGTTTTATAAAGTAGTAAATGTGTAAGCTTAACTCTTACTAAGCGAGCTGGAAATAAGTCTGGGCGGATTAAAGGAGTTTCCATAACTTGCAGTACCGTAAACGATAATAAGATACACGTCTCTGGATTTAACTAGAGCCAAAGAAGATTTCAAGTGGAACGGCCATCCGCATTACCATTATTCAGTTTTTATAATTTACGAAAACCAAAGTTTCCCCTTTCACCTTTGCTGGACCCCCCCCCCCCACTCCCACCACTATATTTTATAATTTACGCTGCAAAAACCTTGCTAAACCAGTTTGAAAAGTAATCGAACAGCTGTCTTCGGACAAGCTCTGTAGATTGGCTCTGTAGATTGGGTTAACATTATTCTGCGCTCTCAATAAATTTCAGCGCAAGATCTCAGCCCAAGGAAGCTATGCCAATCGATAACGCGAAAGCCTAATCTCAACCAATAAGTTAATGTTAATCATGTAGACCTATTAAAAACCAACAATTTAAGCTTTCATTGCTTCTATTATGTTCGTTTCAGTCTTTCAGTCTAGTTAATTATGCATTGACATAAAATCAAATAATTTTTTGGAATTATTTTGTAACTGACGAAGATGCGTATTACAAATAAGAAAAGTATCATGATCTCTTTAAAAATCGTGATTGTTTCATTGCCTTCTCCATAAAGTAATAAATTCAGTTGTGAGAATTGGCGTTTCTAAGCTGCTATAGAAATGCCTTATTGACAAAGCGTGGGTGTCAAGATGGCTAGATAATTGAAGAGCACAATTCTATCAACAATGCCAATATCCAGCCATTAGAACATTTTCGAAACATTTTTTTGCATGCAGCAGAGACAGTAAAAAAAACGTTTTACTACCCATCGATATCATTGATGTCATATATTTGCTATTTGCCTCCCATGCCCACTCCCACCTCTCCCCCGTCTCCTTGCAACATTGCCTAAAAACTCTAAATTTCAGAATTGGCCATGGCGTAATTAATAAATCATCCAACAATAATGTGTTAACCAAATATAAAAAATCATTTATTCACCAAAGCCATAACTTTTACCTGATAAAATGTGCAATAAAATGAATGCTTTCAACATTTAGAAATCTTTAATGACGAAATCTTTGACCCCTGGAATGTAGCTCTTTTTTGAGTCAATCAAAGCAAATAAAATGAGGGTAGTCAAGAGTTACTGATTTATGCCAGCTTCTCGAAGATGAGGACATGACATCGGAATGG